CTGATGTTAAAGGGTAACTTGTTTAGTTCATCCAAACGATACAACAGCAAACATGTAAATTTAATACCTACGTATAATGTATCATTAATACCGTGGACAATAGATGAGTCTCCCGAGGAGAAAAAAAATACAACAGTTAATGGAAAAGTTTTTAGAATTGCGGAATAAATTTATCTATCTGAATTTCATTCACTCCTGTATTGGACCGTTGAAACAAATAACCCATCCATGGCTGAATTCATATATACGATTAGCATCGTTGCATCTAAAGATAATTTAACTGAATTGTTATTTTGCATTCTTAATAACTTTTGTAAGTGGCGTAAATTAATTAATTTGCGTGATTTATGTTAAAAAGTTGATGCGCAGCTACATGAATTCATAGCCGCAACATAGAATGCAGTTGGGAAAACTAACTAATGATCAAGCGTAACGGTAAAATATCCGCATGGAAAATGCAAGTTCTTAAATCACCTATACTGCAAGGGACAATGCGAATAAAACAGATCATAATTTGGGGTGAAAAAAAGGGCCGCACCAACTTCAGGCGAAAAAGTAGCCGATGGGTTTTCTAGTTTGGGTATAAAAATCGGCTACCGGTTAAAAATTAACAATCGGTAGCGGTTACCCAAATCAGCTACCACTAAAATCACAAATCACGAGCCGAGTATACAAGCTACAACACTCAGGAAGGTGTACTTGTAGCCCAATCGTTTTGGTGAGCGAGCGAAACAAGAACATTTTTATAACCTTTTCCGCTTCACGTGACGACGACCGGAGAACTTTGCTGCTGTATATACGTAGGTACACTTGCTCGTGCTTATCTGTGCAGGCTAATCCATTGTGCTTGCTCGACCACGTATATGTACGTACCAGAGCCTTTTTTTAAAACGGAGACGCTGCTTCCTCGCGATAAGGAACTAATGGATGCCACGAGGCTATTGTTTCAGAATTTACGGGGTTTTTTTGGAGAGGGCGTTAAAGCCAGTCGTCCTTTGATGCAGAAAATAAGTGGCTTTTTATGAAATATTTTACAAAACATCCCTTGCGCGCTCCCGACTCGAGCGAAACCGGCAAACAAAAATTCACCATCACTTCCACACCTGCGTCACCTGCGACAAAAGCACAGCGGAGCTTGCAAAAGATCGTGCCCCTCGTTCCAGTGTTGTTGTGAAAAAAAAAA